TCCCAGAGACCCAGTCCCAGTTTCCCCCGGGGGAATTCTCTCAGTCATTTTTATCATTCACTTCTTCTCTTTACTGGCCATTTTTCTCACGAAAAAGATGGAAACGCAGCATGGGAGACCACACTCTTGCTTGGCAAGTCTGGGATAACCAGCATTCTCTCGGGCACACGCATTCATATCCCCCCCTTATCCACCCCATCCCAACAAATACCTATCCTTTGTCCTTGGGTCTTTGTTCTTCTTGAACACTTTAGTCTTAGGGGCTAATTACCACTGTTTTAGGGAAGCCTTTCCCTTTTCTTTGTTTTATTGTCTCCTTTTGCCCATGGATCATAACCTGTGTCTGTGGGTCACACCAGGGGAACAAAGTGAGGCTGCCTGACAGGGCAGGACGCATCTTCCTCACCCTGACTTTCCTAAGGCACCGACAGAGAGGTGTTAGCAACCATCCTCTGCTACCATAATTGTGAAAAACACCAATCACTTGGTTTTTGAAATTTTTAAAGTTTAATAACAATAAAATGGGTATAAAAATAGTAATACAATTAGAGTAATAAAATTTAGAGTTAGGACAATTACAGGACAAAAAACAAAGAATTATGGACGTCCGGGTGCTCTCAGACACTAAGTCATGAAAAGCATGCCTTGTGAACAAAGGGATCACCCTTAAAACAATACATTGTTACATATTCATATATCCTTCATGGTTATGCATACATTCTGTTTAAAACGAGAAACTCTGTCTGTTGTATGTCAACTTTTTTCTTTTAATCCCCACAGCATCTTCGAGTCTGAGCAAGGCCTGAAGAAATTAGCTTCTTCTGATAAGAAAACAATAAATTCTTCTTCTCTGGAAGATTTGGGTGTTCCTTGAAGCAAGTATCTCATTCCTAAAAAACTCTTCATATACACAGTTGCTATTTTTAACATCATGTTGTAACCTAAAACTATATTTAACACTACTTAAGAGAATTTCTTTCTAACATTACACATATAATATTCATTGTAACATTTGCAAAAAGCCAATCATAAAATATGCATTTTTCACACTATTAAACTTTTAAAATTTTAACACAAGTGATTGGAGCTTTTCACAGGGAGGAAAAGAGATTTTGGGGTTGAAAAAAGGAGGATTTGGGATTAAAAAAGGAGGATTAAGGATGAAAAAGAAGGATTTGGGGTAAAATAAAAAGAGGATTTGGGCCAAGCTGAATTTACCTGGGGGAGTGTGACTGTGCAGGGGGTTTAGGGTAGGGTCAGGACCATTTTTGGGGCAGTTTTCTGGCATTTTGGGGTAGTTTTATGGAATTTGGGGGCAGTTCTATGGGATATGGGGAGATTTCTTATGAGATTTTGGGTGATTTGGAGGGGTTTGGAAGGATTTCAGGGTGTTTCTATGAGATTTTGGATTGGTTTGGAGGGATTTGGGGTGTTTTTGTGCAGTTTTTTGGTATTTAGGGGCACGTTTCATGTGTTTTTTCGGGACTTTGGGTTATTTTAGTCCCAGGTTGTTTTGTGGTTTAAGGATATTTTGGTGGGGTTTGGGGTGTTTTGGGTCACTTTTTGGCAAAGGAGATCTCCATGGCATTGCTCTGGGTGATCCCTGAAATGAACAGGGTCTATACCTTTATTAGTGTTCAGCTCTTTATTAAAAAGTCAGCTCGGCAGGGGGCTGTTGTAGCTTTTCCAGTAGCCGAAGGGTGAGAAGGCGTGCAGAGTCTGTCCCTGGAGTCTCCATGGCACACTAAGGTGAAGAGGTGTCCAGTCTGTATCTGAAGTCCCCATCAGCAGACCATCCTCTCTCCTTTCCTCCTGGCACCCTGGTAGCCGAAGGGTGGGGGGATGTGCAGAGCCTGCTGCCGAGGTCCAGCAGCAGCTCTCCCCTCTCCTTCCCTCCTGGTAACACCAGGAAGAGTTGTTCCTTTGTTCCTGCTTCCCACAGCCCAGTCCAGTCTGGTCCTCTGCAGGTTATGGTTGTTGTAAATGAAAATTTGTCCAGCCAAATTAATATGAAAAAATAAAATATTTATTTTGCAATCAAATTTTATCAAGCCAGCCACAAGGAAAGAACAGAGCCGAGCCTAGGGTTGACCCTGGGTGTGCCACAAGGAGTCAGCCTCAGCAGAGGTTTTCCTCTGTGCCCACACACCTCCATCCTGGCACAGGCGGTTTTTATAGGGAAAATTCTGCCTGAGGCCAAGGTTTTAGCAATCAGTCCTTTCTTCTATTTGGAGTCCATATGTTAATAAGGATTTCTTTTTGGTGATGAGGAGAAAAAATTCAATGTTGAGCGTTTACGGGAAGGCTTCATTCACATGGATCTGTCTGAGTATTTCCATGATATCCATCTTGGACGATCAGCACAGACGATCAGCACAGACAATGGCCCATCTCCCGGCCGAGCCACATCCTTTTACTTGTAAATCAGTTTCTAATATACATCCAGTCTCGCTTGTAAAGGGGGGGGTGGGGGGGGGAGGGGGGGGAACTAATACGACGGGCATGATTTAACAAATATCCAATATTACA